GTACACGCGCGTAGATAAAATGAAAACATGGACACTGCCCCATCTCTAGAGAGCAGAAGAAAAAAATAGACTATGGATAACAAGTAATCTAAGAATGCTACCAGGCTATAATTATATTACCGCTTGAAATTGAAAAAAACAGCCAATAAGACATACATAGTTTAAGCTGCAGTGACTCAATTGCACCGACCAAGAAAGATGTACAAGAAAGAGTAACTGTTAGTAACCTTGTCCACCCATATCAACTCGCCCCTCAGATTGCATAAGTTGAATCTCCGGATAAAAACTTTACACATGAGATAATCAATCAGGGTTACAGCTAAAAATGGAGTTAATATATGGAAATATGATTACTAATGTATAAACTAGAGAACACCTGAAACAATTATAAACAAGCGATGTAACCAAATCAGGCCACCTGGCCCTTAAAAAAAAAATATGAATGATTACCGTTACGACCTATAAATAAGACATTTCCTGATTCATACTATGGCATTGTGTGCAAAACCGAAAAATAAAGATCATACCATGACAGAGAAGTAAGAAGAAGATCATTACCCATCTTTAATTTCTAAGCTCCACTCGACCGACTTCAAGAAAATAAAAAAGAGTGTTGAGCATCATGTATATGTAGATACTATCCTCTTATACCTATCTCAAATGTTTCAATCCATATTCTCCTTTATTCTGTCAAATCGCGTATTGCCACCCACCACACTCTCTAAATGCCACTTAGATAGATACAAATTTCATTGTAATTGAGCGTTGATAGAGTCAATAACACATCCATATTAGATTTTTTCTATATTATTTCAAGACTATGTATGCCTCTTTGATTGCTTACACGCGAAATGGTGCTCGACATTCGCATGCATGAATGATGTATTTCAAAAACACTTTTGTAATATTGCGTTAATATGTCAACTTTATCGAATGTTCTAAGATTTATTAGACAGTGATTTATGGGAATCAGTCTGAAGAACCCTCTACGCATGTGCATTTTTGCGTTTCTGGCTGCCAGGTTTGAGCGGATGATTCCCGGGCATTCGGTAACAGAAGGCTGGCGAGATATGTTTTGTTTTCAATGTTGTGTTGATTCTAGGTTATTGTTAAGACTATACAGTGGCAACGAAGAAGAAAAAGACCTTAATAACTATCACAGTTTAATATCTGAGGCCATCAAGTAACCGAAATCCAAAAAAGTGATAAAAATAAAGCTATCCACAATAGACCGACCGACGGACCGAAAGAAGGAAGGAAAATTGACAGTTTGGTCTTTTGATATATATAGGTATTTGGTTTATTGTTTACAGGATGGAAGTAGCTCTATTTTGCCGTATATACAAGGGGTGAAGAGAATGTGTCCTGTGGCAGTGCCCGAAGGACACACCTAGTCACGGCACTGTAAATTGTTAGTTTAGGTTGGGTTACAGGTCAGGATTTTTTGGGGGGAGGGATTTGGAAGGTGTGAAATCCTGTAGATTTTGCAGAACGATGGGGTGGATTCCTGTAGAGTTGATTAAAGCCTGTGAGAAATGTCATGATTCGTGTTGTGATGATTCTGGGTTATTCTTAAGACTATACAGTGGCAATGAAGAAGAAATAAACTTTAATAACCATCCCAGTTTAATGCCTGAGCTCAAATGCCGAATTAAGTTATTAAAATCGAAGCATTTCAGCCAGTAGAAAGAAGCGAACAAAAGTTTGACATTTCTAAATGTAAAGGTATTTGCTTTATTATTTTATGGTGTGATCGCAGCTCTATCTTGCTGTACATACTGAGGTGAAGAGAGTGTTTCCCGTGGGATGTTGGGGGGATGTAGGGAGTCCCCCTACAACCCTCCCCTCAGGTAGTAGAGCACTCCTAGTCATGGCTTGGGCTTGGCTCGTTATTGCAGGAACAGATGCCATTATCAATATAGAATAGGTGTTTGATGTGATTTGGCTTATAACTGATATTCAACAGGACAATGGCGAGTTTCAAGGATGGTCATGACCTAATTATCGATACTTTAGATCTTTGGGTAATCGTGTTTCTATGATAAATGACTCTTTCATAAGTCTTAGAATTTCTCATGTACTTTACTGTGATCAGATTAAATAAGATGTTCATTTTCTGTGCATGTCTTTGTAAGTAAGCAAACCCTCTCCGCAGCCTTCCCCATCCAGCAGGTTTGTGGGGTGCTTCAGAAAAGTGGATTTTGGGATAGGAAGGGAGATCAGTTGTAAAAAACACATTAAATTTCTGCTTATTGTGAACTATGTATGTCAGTGTGATTTTGTTACAATATACCAACCATTACAGAATACCATATGCACAGTGGTCTTTTTTGCCTGTTTACTTTAAAGTGATATGGTAAAAAATATCCTCCAAGTGTATTTTGGAAGGATAGGGCTTGGACTGGTTCCATACTTGTTGATAAAACCCATAGGTGTATCAAGGCATGTTTGTAAACAAGTGTGCATCACTTTATATGAAAATGCATCAGTAGAGAGTTTGCCAGAAGTTTTAACCCCATGGCTCTGGATGCTTCACTGACTGCACGTAGCCCAAAATTTGGCCATTGGGCTCATGTTATTGGCCACTCTGATATAATGATCTTTTTCCTTCTTCATTCTGTCTTTTCCTTTTCTATTCTCTTCTTTTTTCATGGAATCTGGATGGTTTTAGACAAGCCATTGGGTTTTTCAAATTTAGGGAGTGGCAACACTTAGTATCAGTGATTTTTTTTTTTTTTTTTTTTTTTTTTTTTTTTTTTTTTTTTTTTTTTTTTTTTTTCCCCCAAACTGCATAGCAGCTTTTTATGGTGTTTCATATTAGTTTCCCTTGATATTGTATTACAGTTTGATCCAGCTGTGCAGCGCTTCATGTCAATGAGAGCCACTCGTTACGACCACTTCAAGCCAACTCCTCGTTCATCTTTGATTGGAATTGCCATGCTTGCTGTCCCTATCTTGGGATATGGGTGGTGGATGAAAACTAGTCGAGTAAGTACTGTTATGGATAAACTTTATTTCTATTAATATCTGTAAATATCATTGCAGATCTTTTTTCTGAATTGAAAAGGATTGTAAATATGATTAAACTTTTTATTTTCTTGACAGGAAAACTTTGAAGCGAAGTGCCGCACTGGCCAAGTGGCATATGCAGATCGTGAGTTTAAGTTCGCCTAAAATTGTAAAGAGGAAACAACTCATCTTTGATAATGGTGTATAGATTGTATATGAGTATTATAAATAAATAATTTTAAAGCTTTACTTTTTATTAATATCCTTTAGCATATATAAGTAAGTAGTTAGAAGTCATTTTAGAAAAGGTGATGGTAATGTTAACTCAAAATTAGCTGCTAGTGTGTGTATATATAATTTCTCTCTCTCTCTCTCTCTCTCTCTCTCTCTCTCTCTCTCTCTCTCTCTCTAACATTGCTTCAAAGTATCACATAATATGTTAGTTATAGTTTGAAAATTATTGCTATTAAAGTGGTATTTGAAAATATTCATATTTTCATCACATGGCCCTCGGCCAAATTTTATCATGATTTGACAGTTCCATCAGTGGTTTTCAAGAGTTTAATAATACTTTTCATGCAATTTTATTCATTATCCTACAGCTCCTGGCAGCATATACAATAACAAGAGTTAGATGCTGACACTTTGCTCTTATTACACTTTTTTTAATAGTTTGTTTCCATTGTCACCCCTGCCTTACTTTCATTACAGGACCCCCCCCCCCTTCTGTCCACATCCTAAGGTGTAAGAGCTGTGCCGAAAGGATGAAAAGCTGGCTTTGTGTCAGTCCCCTTACCCCTTCTGCTTCCTCTTTGATGCTCATGTGACTCCCTTCAGTCACTACCTTGTTCTTCCCAGTATTCTTCCCCCTACTGATATTTTCCCTGATACTTCAGCTCCTTCCTCTGGTCACTTGTCCCCATTAATTGCTTTATAATGACTCCTGCACTGTTACTCTTTCTTTGATCCACAGATATCCTCCATTTGAAGTAATCACTCTTTGCTCTTAACCCACTTGCAGCTCACATTCCCGGGCATCCCGCCAGTGCAAAGTTAGATCGGAGCTTGCTCTTTGATTTTGTCACCTGTGGCGGGCGTCGGGGAGCCGCGCACCGATTTTGAAGCCACCTGGAAACTATTATATTTGGCTTGAAATTGTACTGGCGCTTGTGGGTTCACCTTTCCTATTTTTACATATCCCTGCCATACTTCATTTGCTCCCCTTCTTTACCCATTTCACTACCATACTATCCTACAGTGCTGCTGTTTGACATCATATAGATTTTGTTCTATTTGTCAATTTACTTACCCATTTTGCCACAGTACTTTACCATAGTGCTATATGAACTTTGATGTCTATCATATTTGTTTTAACCATTAATCAACTGTTAGTACTATTACACCAACAATTTTGCTGTCCATTTTTACATTTCCATAAGATCTTCCTGCATGCAATTAGACTGACCTATCACACTGGCAGAGTACCACTGCCACATGGTAACAAACATGGCTCCAAATGAGTGAGGTCCTGGAAATAACACCAGTATTCTCAATATATATTTTAAAGAAATATAATAATTCAAAGGAGACTACTAAGTTGTATATAGAAATATTCCAGAACATTAGCTTATGTTTACATGAACTGTTTTTCATTTATCAGTAAAAATTGCATTAGTCAGATGAAAACGGGCTTCACCACCTTTACCTGGGAGACATTCTGCATGCATGCGATACAAGGGAAAGCCTAAAATAAATGCAGAAAAAGTAACTGTGCAAGAGCTGAAACTTCACAAGAGTTGCAATTTTTAGCAAAGCATTAAACTTTTTTTTTTTTTTTTTTTTTTTCTTTAGTTCATGGTCTGATTTTCATTTATCAAATCAGATTCTGTTGAATTTGTGGTTCAATTATTTTCACAGGATGGATAGAATAAATTCTTTTTAAAACACTTGGAAGTCAAATGATTTGAAAAGTTTAAACATAGACAAAGATGTTGACCATTTGCTGATCACTTTATTGATCAGTAAACACAGTATTGGTTTTCTTTCCTGTAATTGGTGTGTAACAATCTCTATACCTCGTATCATGATTTTTACATGAAGCATATAGGCAGACCAAAAAATGCCATAAGGCAATATACATGCATACCTATATCCAGGAATAGTTCCTTATTATGACAATACTTTCATATTATTCAAAGCATTGGCTTTTTTAAACAATCAAAAAATAATTGTTACAAAGAAGAGTGACAGTAACACAGGCACAATTAGCCTTTTAAAAAAAGATACCGAGGATACTTTTATTACATGGCCATCTTGAATTCACACGTGTAGTTTTAATACATAGATGTAAGTATCCTATCCTCCTGTTTTGATATTTTGTGATCATGTTTTTGATATGTACTTGTTCATTGCTTTCACAGTAGTGAATCCTAATACAGAAAATGAAAGTTATTGCTAGTGTATGTAGATATTAAGAATGGATAAACTGAGTTGCCACTCATTTAGTCCAGTGCTGTCAAGAAAATGTAAGGTTCCCTGCACTAGTGTTTTGCAAAATGTATCTACACAGATGGCTCAACAAGAACTTGTTCCTCTAAAGTTTGGGTTCTCCTACTTTTCTGACACCCATTTCTACCCTTATTACCTGTTTATTGCAAATGAGTTGCCACTGAACCAGTGTTGCTGGGAAAATGTGATGATTTGAAGTATTTGTGAAAAATATATACATAGATGGGTACACAGGTACTCAGTTGGCAATTGTCATTGTGACCCCATCCTCGAGTTTTCAGGAAGCATCTTAGATGACTAAATGTATAGTGTTGCCAAGACAGGTATATTTATCACAGTCACCATGATTATAGTCAGTAGGCAAAATATGATGCACTTTGATAGATAAAACCTCCAGTTTATTAAAAATTTATTTTCTACCATAATGTTTTTTGAATAAGTATACAATATTTACATTACTTATTTAGAGATCTCTTATATTTCTGAAGAAGGGATTGATAATAACTCTCAAACTGTTTTGGAGTCTTGTAAAGAACAGTAACAGATGATGGAAAGTAACCTATTTCTTTCAGCTTCTTTATTCTCTCTGCGGTTCTTTTCTCTGCATACAATAAGATGCGCATGGAGGCCCTGTGATAAAAGAAGTAAATTAATTTCAGTAAATTGTTTATGCATTAATGTTCACTGTCGTGAATTTGTGTTAAAACAGATTTTAGGTAATCCAATGCTGGCGTTCAGGAAGATCTCGATCCTTTCCATTTGAGGCTCATCCTTCTGATAATTTTTCCATCATGACAATAGTTAAAGGAAATACAATATGACAGTCAGATAGGATATCATACAGTTAATGCTAGAATTAATTTGATAATTATTACAATTATAAGGAAAAGGTTGGAAGGGGGTATCATCTGCAATAAGCATAGCTCTTCTCTCTGATACAATATATCATAGCCTTTGGGTTATGCCTTACCTTATCTGTTTGCGTGTAAAGCCCTCAGAGATGAGAAGGTCAATCTGGCTCTTCAACTTTGACACATGAGCACGCATCAACCCAGGATTGCCACGTGCATAATTTACAATGAACTCTGGTTCACATTCTAGACGCTCGGCAAGATATTCAATTACACTCTTCTCTCCTAACAGTTCTTTTTGGGACTGGTATCTTTCACATGTCCTGAATGAAGACAAAATTAACTAGTTATTTTGCATATAATTTTCAAGGGATCTGAATTTAGCACCTCATATTTCATGAAGCGTATTTTGATTGTAAGAATGATAATCATTCAATATGCAAGTATGTAAGGCATCTTATCTATTGCAATTAAATAAAACTTTCCTGTCATTTTCTTTACTATATACACACCTTTCAAATATATACTCTGGGCAGCGGCACATCCATAGCTTAGGCCTTTCACATCCTGCTTCAGTAGCACGATGCAGTCTTTCCTCTGTCAAAGCTGGATTGTGATAATACACCCAGAGGTCTCGTAAGATGTCCTCTGATTGTACTTCATACCCTGTAATCAAACCAATTTCAGAATTCAAGATCTTGCTCTTCTCTCTCTTTTTTTCCCCCCCCATCTATTTCTGAATGGAAAAATACTGTGTCCATACAATGGTAGGAAATCCCTCAATACACAAACTAGATTTATTGAAATAAATGAGAGAACATTTTTAAAATCATTCTGGTTTTCATCTTCAGGTCTAAATTTGGAAATGCTCTCATTTATTTAAATAAATCTAGTTTGTGCACAGTGGGTTTTTCTACCATCTCTCTCTTTTTCCCCACAAGTGCATATGCACAAGTCATTCACATGATCTGAAAAATATTCACACTAGCAAACTCAAAATCAAAGGCCACACACAAACACAGATGCCATACTAGCTGAATTTTTTTTCATGAAACAATTCTTTTTCAATATTAATTTTTTTTACAAAAGAAGAAAAAAAAGGTAAATGGCTCATTATACTCACTCTCCAAAATGCTAGTTATATGTTCTATTCTTTCCAAGTCCATAAAAAGAATGCGCTTCGGTTTGACAATTCTCTCGGTCAACTGATCAACTGGAACCTGAAATTCATCTGTCGTTAAAGAATATACGAAATGGTGCCCATATTAAAATAAACCAAAATCATAGAACAAAATACTTATTGGGCAAGAACATTAATATTGATCACTTGCCCATGTTCCAAGAAAGAAAATGCTACAAGCACTTCCAAGGAAATTATAATAAAGAACTTGAGAAAAACAAAAGTTAATTGTATTTATCACTTTCTGTCAAAAGTTAAAGACTAGCTAAAATGCTAACTACACAGGGCTCGAATTGGAAAAGAAAACTTCCACCCAATTCTAACAAACATTTTTGAAGGCAGTGAGACTTTTTTCCAAAGATAAAAACAACTTTCTATTATTTTCATAATGATAAAATTCCGGACTGACAAGTACATGCTGAAAGTGCATCTGTCACCCCCACCCCCATCCCCTTTCAGATAGTGATGTGATATAAAATCCCAAATCAGAGACTTAATAGTCATTTTTTAAAAGTTTCGGCAGTATCTAATTTCATATGTGATACTGTCTAAATATATATATATGGACTGAAAGAGAGAAATGTGTTGAAATGGAAAGGGATGGGGGGGAGGGGGCAATAAGGCTTAAAAGTCTTACTTCAGGAGGTTTGAATTGCTCTGCCTAAGGCAATCCTGTTACCGAAGGCTAAATCTGTCATTTAGAACACTATTGCTTTAAACATTTATCATGATCAAATTACTGCAAATACCTGCCTTCAAACAGAATATTGTAATACTATGCAGTCTAGTTCCCATCCCATTTCCTTAATCACTGAACTGTTTTTGTTTCTGTTTTAAAGATATTATAGGAATTAAGTACAAAGAGGACGAATCATTTTTGAGAATGCTCAAAATCAGTTCTTAGTAAACTTTTGCAAGACAATTATTTATTCATCTTAACGTACTACATCTAATAAAATTTGTACAAATAATTTTTTTTTTTTTTCTTCTTTTTTTTTACTTCACTAGTTATTTTTCCAATAAATCTTCAAGAAATACACATTTGGCTTCTATTTGTTCAAAAAAGGATTGTGCTGTGAACTAATCTTCTAGAAGCAATAGCTTGATGTTTTGCAACTTTATGAGCAAAAGCATGTGGTTGAAATTACCTGTCAAGTAATTTGATTTAGCCGTAAAGACTTTACCTGTCACATCAATACTACTACTACTACTACTACTACTACTACTACTACTAATAATAATAATAATAATAATAATAAAAAAAATGCTGAGAAAGAAACTAACAGGTTTATAATTAGATACATCTGCAATCATTTCACACTGGCAGTCATAGCCAAAAGCAATCAGCTTACTTTATTTGGCCTATTATAAGGAATCAAAGGGAAAAAAGTCACGACTGATTACTAATTTTTCAACCCAAATTAGACCTTTCTTCTTTACAGTTTAAGGTATTGACATTACACAATCTCCAAATGAAGTGAAAATCATATCCTATCATTGATCAACTAGTAGCTTTTAATCTTAGGATAATGGACACAGCCACGAACAATCCTCATTTTGTAATAAAAGAGAACTTATTGATAAAACATATATTCAACCAGCAATTCAGATTAGGTTGATGAATAATTTTGACAACATCCACTCTTAAACTGTTGCCACTATGCTATAAATTCAAATTTCAGAAAAAGTACAAAAAGCCCAGGTGAGATCATAAAAATAATCCATCTCTCCAGACCTCTTTTCAGCAACTTTCTACAACATTCTCTTTCCCTCTCTTTTTCATTCATCTGGGATAGAGCTCCATGTTAACTGGGGATGGCATATAAGTACATGCTGTGCCCACTGTGAGTTTAATTTATTGTTTTTAAGACATAGATGGCTCCCCTAGTACCATGTCACCAATAAGCCAATTGCGAATACTACCTGTCTCACCTGTTTACCCTTTTCCTTGATTTCTGAAAATATTTTTTGGTATCTTGCATTACTGTTAGTTTTGATAGCTACTTATATAATATTAATTTATAATAATTATCATAATTCACATTTTCTCTTGTTCACAGCCACAGGTCTTAGTGCGAATGTAATATGTATCATACTAGCCATAGAGCTGAAATTACCAACATATGCAACAGAATTAGGTAGAATTTGTGTGAACATTTCCTGGACTAGCATATGTGTACTAAATAATGCCACTGCATGACACAACTCAGAATCTATGAAAATATCTATTTAACTTGATTATATTTTCGTGAGTATGGTACATAATCATGCCAATTACAAAACTATTTGGTCTGTATTTCTGTTAGTAATTAAATATTTTACTTATGATACTCATCTGATTTCCCCAAGCTACAAACTGAATATACAATACATAGGATTTGATATCATAAGTATTAACACAGAACACACTAACGTATATCATGTAATGTTAACAATATCAACTTTCCTTCATTTCCAATCAGAATCCTACACTTTGTTCAACACAAATTCCTTAATCTGGTTGTCCAAAACATTTTAGCTTATGAAGCTTATTTCTGTAAAAGAATGTTTTTTGAAGTAGAAGATTCCCACTTTAAAAAGAGAGAGAGAGAGAGATAGAGGAAAAAAACAAGGCAGTACTACAAGAACATACAATCAAATCCAACATAAAAAAAATATTGTAAAAGGAAAATTAACCCTGAATTAATGACACTAACCTTCATCCTCTCTGCCAAATAATAAATCCGATTAGGGTGATTAGGAAATTTAAAACGGCTTTCAACACTAAACACACTGCTTCGATATTTCCCAATCTGTTGAGCACACACACACATCTGTGAACACACAAACTACCATCGACGCCTTCCTAGAACATTAAACCAATACCTATAAATAACTCCAACCATGGACTTATAGCGATCTAATCTATCAGACATATACACCCTTCAAGCTGAAACACTCTAGTCTCGATAGTGTGTAGCATACAGAGCCGATCTATTCGGACAATCACTATCTTATAAATCTATGAAACATGAAGAACAAATGGAAATATATGAATAAATGTTAGGAAATTAATTTATCACACACGCAATTATATAAATTTCAGTTTGTGATAGATAAAACTATGAATTCACTACACATTTTCTTTTGGACATGTAATACCATATCATATATCATATAATATATTATATAATATATATACACACACACCACAACACACTCAACAATATTACATCAACATACACAACTATAACAACAACAATACACTACAACGTACCCACACTAACACATAATACTAACATAAATACACAATACACATACATTATACTACATCACTTGCATTTACTTTCAGCACATATATCATATATATATACACACCACTACAATAACACACTACAACAACAATATAATCACAACCACACTAACATCACAGCTACACTATACATACCATAAACATAATATATACCAATTATACACACACAACCACACACCAAATCAATCAACAATACAACTAACTATAATAATGTATAGTAATAATATAATAATATATATATATATATACAATCATATATATACATAAATATATTATACACACAACAACATACATATATACATAACTAACATTATTAAACAAGTATAGCATTGCACGCTTTGCATTTACTCGCACACACAACACACCACACACAAATATATAAATTAATGCAGATATACAATTATACATACCAAACATATAACAACAACACACACACTAACAATGCATACACATATATATAAACTACACACATCACACTAATACGCTCACACCATAAATAATACACTACATTAAAACACATATATATAACATATATCCCAATGATTATATACACGCACTCATTGCATTTTTAGACATTATTACACGGCACATACACACACACACACACATCAACACATTATACATATATTCATATACATATGAGTATACATGATATTATTATAATATATATATACATCACTATACACACACCACACATTATAACTAATATACATACACCATCACAACACACAATACATACACACATATATATAGTACATATATATTATATATACATATATACGCAACAACACACACACATACATAATATATATATAATACATATATATACATAATACACACGCCCCCATACTAACACATACATACATAAAAACAAATAAACATATAAACACGCCTTGCATTTAATCGCACACACACACACACACACACACACACACACTATACACCAATCTCACACATCATTATATATAATTATAATACATATATTATATATTACATATATATATAGTTATATATAGCTATTATATATATATAATATGACATACATATATACACACATCATACATATATATATACATAGCATATAGATATATATATATAACATATATATAGTAACGATATATATATATACAATATAAATATACATATATATAACATATATAACATAATATACACACATACACACTACTACAATACTAACACACACACACACACACACCTAATATACTACATATAGTATATATACACATATATACACAATACGTACACTACCACATACAATCACTAATAACACACTATAATATATACAATAACACATAAATACATAAATACACATAATATCACTACAGCTTTTTAGCATTTACTTCAATCACAACTAACACTAAATATATATACATATATATTATATACATATATACATATACATACACAAGTATATATATCTAATACATATTATATACATATATATATTCATAAAAATTAAAAATAAAAATACCCAAAAGCCATATATACAACAGTATATATATATACACATATATACACATATATAATATACACATATATATATAGTATATAACACATAATATATACACAACACATATAATATATACACATAATATATAACACATATATATATATACATATATATAACTACATATATATACTACAAACAGTATACAACCATATCACATATAATACATATACTAACACACATATATACACTCATACATATACATATATATTACATATACATAATATATATGACAATAATATACACATATACATAATATATAAACAATATATATATATATATATAAACACCAACATATAAATACATAAGCACTATATATACATATAATAATATATAGACACTAGACATAACATCACACATACATATATATATAAGTACATACAACTAACACACACCATAACACATCAAACACTCACATATATTATACACCATTATATAATATATATAACACCAATATATATCACAATATATTAACATAACACGTAACTTGCATTTTTACTATTATATATACTCACTGAGACTATCCATAACGTAACATATACCCCCCACACCCACCACATCATAATATTTAATAAAAATATAATTTACCCAAAATTTATAAATTTATAATCCCATATTAACAATATAACAAACCAATATTAAAATAAAATTAAACATATCATATACATATATATATAGTATATATAATATATATATAATATGTATATATAGTATATATATATATGTATATATATGTAATATATATTATATAATATGTATATATATATATGTTTATATAATATGTATAAATATACTAACTAACCAATATACATACATATATACACATACTACATACATATATATGTATATATAATATATATATGTATGTATGTATATAATATATATATTCCATATATATTATATATAGTAATATCATATATTCATATATGATATATATCACACAATATCTACAATCAATACTATATTCAATAAATAATATTGACCACAGGCATTCCACTGATTTTGACGATTAATATTATTAATTTATTATAATATTATTAATTTAATAATCATATTATATTTATTATAATATTTGATTATTGATGACTGATGATGAATTAGTTATTAGATAGATTGAAATGATGAAATGATGATGATAGATTTAGATGTAAAAAATTGAAATGGATGATGATTGATTTTATGTAATGATTGGTAATTGATGTAATGATTATAGATTTGACCTCAGTATATTCAGAATTTATTATTAGAACATATGTCAAATAGGAGTGAATGTTAATAATTAGTTATGATCAGTTAATATTAGAAGTACTATATTAACTACTTATATACTTATTTTAATTCAATTATAATTATTGATTATAGCAATAATACATTATACTATTATTTGTATCATTCAATATTTATTATATACCCAACTATGAGAGTTAATGTACCCCATTAATACCTTATCATTATATATTATACGGCAAACAGATACTTAGACAGGCAATTCTCACAATCATAAACCAATTCATAAAATACGGCAATTTAGGAGGAGGTAAGGGGTGGAGAGGATGAACATCTAATTAAATTAATTATCATAATACTATACGTCTGGGAAAGTATTTGTTTCTTATATGCCTCACCTGATTATATAATATTCATCTATTTAGCTGATCCTTTACCTACTCTTATGCCTATTAATATATTATAAGAAAATGGATATACTAACAATTATGTGAAAGTCGAGATAAGTCACACAAACTGAGCACCACCTTACTATATTAAACACATTTATTTATATACATATATATATACAATATTATATAACCATCACTCAAGAAGAGCACAATCCATATCATAACAACCTTAACCACATATAATCACCTAACACCAATAAATATTAAGCATGATCATGACTAAATAACTATAACAACAATTACACACAAGACATACCAAATACTATATTACATATATAAACAACAACAACAACAACAACTAAACAACATACTATACACTAACTAAATACAACTAACAACATAACATTTATATAACTATACAACACTAAACAGGCATAACCAACAACAAAAGTCAGATACAAAACACACACAGTCAAACAACAACAATAATAAATAAACAAAACTACAGCAACAACCAACAACAACACAACAACAAAACCTCCACCACCGCCTATGCCTGTGTTTTATATAACTCCGTACAATATATATATTAGCGTCTTCCTCTATCTTAATCAGCCTATATAAGAAATGAACATATGGAAGGCGATAAGCGCATGACGTATCTCGAGCCGTTTATACATAAGCGGAGGCTTACACACATAACTTACACTGGCTTATTCAAGGTAAGTATATTTTAAAGCAAACGATAGAGAGCTTGGTTATCATTTAACTATCTCTTTATGAGGCATTAACTTATATAATTCACTCTTATTACTTCATGCAGTACTCTATTAATAAGTTTAGGATTATATACATTCACATACATATGGTTTGTCCTGGATCATAATAATTACTTACTTATGTTATTATTAACTATATTATATAGTTAGTCTTTCAAGCAAGTCTTATTGTATTCATATTAAGTCTTATTTATGGTTTTACAGGATATTAAATATTTAAACATTTACAATTGAGTATATTAGTTATAAAAGTATATAGTTTTTGAGCAATTTACAAGAATATTATTCACAAGATATATTTCACACATATATTATTGATTTATAATAATTTATTCTCAGAATCAAATTACTTTATCAGTCATTACATATTATTTACATCACATCATAATTTAATTCATTATTTATATACATTTATTATATTTAGACCGAAACTCTACTTTATTTTATATACACAAGTATTAATATTATAACATATATTTAAATAAGCAAAATACCACAAAAAGACTATTAGTTTCAAACTGCCTTCAGAGGAACCATACTCACATTAGTAGGAGCTT